ACACTGAAGCGTCGAGTTGCACTGTTAAAATTCGCGCTCAGCGTCTGTGAACAAAGCCCGCCTACTTTGATTTGATTGGCCATCTCAAATATTCTGATATTGACGAGCGGTGACAGACCAATGAGGCTCTGAACACACACACACACACACACACACACACAGCCTGTCAGCTGTTTCTGACGTGCTCTCTGCTCGGCGACGCTGCGGATTGAAGATGAAGAACGTGCTGAATCTCATTATAACAAGAAGTTTGAAGATTGATTTTTCATTTGGATATTTTTGGTGCGCCCTCAGCACTTGGTGCCCTACGCACAGCGCGTGATGCGCGTGGTGGGAGCGGCGGCACTGGGGGCACCTGGGGTGGCCAATCGAATTTCAGGGGGGGCCGGTGCCCCCCCCTGGCCACCACGTGGACCCGCCCCTGGTTAAACTCATTTGTCAAGTACTATAAGAAATAAACACAAAAGGGATTGTGGATTTTTTCTCTTACTAATATTTTTAATTGAATGGGAACCGGAATCGTTTGGCGGAACCGAAATCGGAACCGGCTTTCCTAAAATTTCTCACGATTCCCAACCCTAGTCACAGGGCTTCGGTCATCAATTGATTTGGGATCAAAGAGCATTTCTACGTTCTTACAGGTGTTATAGTAGTTTATGACTGTCACACCAGTCCACAAACCTGCCCACAGCATCTCTGTAAATGGATGAGTCAGAGTTCTCAGTGAGCAGACTAAGAACAGCTGTATCATCCGAATACTTCACCACGTATTGATTAGGCTCATAACTAACACAATCATTTGTATACAGAACAAACAGAAATGGTGAACTGACACATCCCTGAAGGGCACTCGTAGTACATATTTCTGTATTTGATAGGGAGGAGGAATTAAACTTCACTTGCTGTGGCCTCTTAGTAAGGAATGAATAATACCACCTAATTAAAAATGGATTTACATTCAGAAGTGCTAATTTCCTTATGAGAATATGTGGCTGAATTGTATTAAAAGCAGAGCTAAAATCAATCAGGAGCAGTCTAGCATATGCACCTGGGGTTTCAAGGTGCTTCAATATAAGGTGCATTTCAGTTGATATGGCATCACTTGTACTTTGTGTCTTTGTGTATGCAAACTGATATTTATCTAATACTGGGTCCACCTCCGAGCGAAGAACATTTACCATAAGTCGTTCCAGGCCCTTGAAGACATTGGAAGTTAATGCAACGGGTCTATAATCGTTGTCCTCCTGAGAACATGCCTTTTTTGGGACTGGAATTATTGTAGACTTTTCCAAATCTCAGGTACAACATGTTCATCAATAGAGAGTTGGAACAACTGATGCCATACCGGAGACAATTCCTCTGCAAATGTCTTTAAAAGAAAAGTGGACATATTATCTGGCCCTGTCGCTTTTTTCAAGTGAATTGATTCAAAAACCTTCGTTACCGTATGTGGATCTATAACAATCCTGTCCTTTACATTACAGTTTACATTATCTAAAACATCACAGCAGTCCATATTTTTATCAGATTCAAAACGCATATAAAATTGATTCAGTGCATTTGCTTTTAAACTCTCATCCTGAGCAACCAGAGGCTTCCTTTTAGCCTCCATGTTTGTCATTCCTCTAATTGAGTCCCACAGTTTCTTGGAGTTCAACGTGGACAAATTTTGTTCTGCCCGCTCCTTGTGCTGCAGCCTAGCTGCTCTCATAAATTTATTTAGCTCTTTTTGAGCTGTTTTGACTCCATCCGTTTTACGTGCTGCTCTCAGGGCAGTAGTACTCAATAGATCCAAATCGCTGTTATGTTAGTGTACTACGCGCTGCTCTCAGGGCAGAAGTTCAAATCGCTGTTATTCTAGTTTACTACATGTTGCTCTCAGGGCAGGAGTACTCATAGAAATCACTGTTATTTTAGTGTACTAAACACTGCTCTCAGGGCAGGAGTACTCAATAGATTCAAATCGCTGTTTAGAGTACTATGCGCTGCTCTCAGGGCAAAAGTACTCAATAGATCCAAATCGCTGTTATTTTAGTAAACTACGTGCTGCTCTCAGGGCAGGAGTACAAATTGCTGTTATTTTAGTGTACTACACGCTCTCAGGGCAGGAGTACTCAATAGATTCAAATCGCTGTTATTTTAGTGTACTATGCGCTAGGGCTGGGCAATAAATATCGATTTCTCGATATTAATCGATTCTCTTTTTCATAAACCGATATCGATTCTTAAATCCTAAGAATCGATTAGTCATCCTGTTTCGGCTGCGCGCATCCAAAAAATCGCAATAATCTTTGTCCTTTGTTACTATTGATATGAAACAAAGTCTCAATTTTCAAATTACGTCAATTTTCTTTAGAAATTCAAAAACATAAATAACGTTTTGGCGCTGTGGCGTGAAATCGCTCTGGCGCAGCTCAAGAGAAGCAGCAGCGATCTCTCTTCCGGCTTAATAATACCAGTCACAGCCCGAAATAAACATGAATAAGCATCTGAAAGTGTGTTAACAGATAGAGTACAACTTATCGAAATCCGTATCATGTCACATTTATTCACTCAATCAGCATTTCAACCGTGGAAAGACGTCAGTTAAACAGTTTGTAACCAATGTCATGTATCGTCATATTTACCTCAGAAAACCCACATAAACTCGTTAGTCAGCTAGAAAAAATAACTCTAGAGAGGAGCATTTTGCTAAATATATTCACCATATTACATATGCATTATAATCTTAATGTTCTTCAATATTTAATGCATATTTGAATAAATCTGTCAAGTTTTTATGACAGCCACCATTTAAATGTTTATATTTGATATAATCTTCTTATTATAAAAATAAATAAAAGTGTAATTAAAGTGTTGGTATAGCTACAAAACAGTTAATTATTACCTTCATATTAGACTAATAAAGCCTAGTAGGCTACAACTAGACTCCCATAGTTTACAGCATTAGTTAAGAGATTTGATTTCATTGAGAAAATTTGCCATTTAATAAACTCTATCAGCATGTGATTGGCTGTTTGCTACTGATGTTACACCTAAACTCAGGATCAAAGCCTGTGTTGACAGAATACCAAATGTGCCAGTTAATGTAAGTTATTCAAGTAGCACATTCATTTATAATTTTGAATAAACTCCGACCAAAGCACAATGACTAAGTGTGTATTTTTTATTTTAAATGTTTGCCAGCTCGCACAACTGTCTGTCTCCATGCCTTGATGAGTATTGATTATTAATAATGTTATTATAATACTCCCAATCGACTACTGCGGAGGGTAAAGGTACTGTTATTTCACCCTTTTGAATTTCGTTGAGATTGTGTTCCCACATCATTAGCTAGTTTGGATCGCTATAACTTGAATGACTGTCAACTGTTGAATGAACGAGTGTCAAGCATGTCAAATCACGCTTTGTATAGATGAATCCGACGAGCGTTCTGTGTAGGCTGCCATCTTGTGGCGACGCCATTACTGAGCTGTTACACAGGCATAGACATATGCACCGGTATGTAAACAAACCTCGGTGATAACGCGAACTCACCCTCGATGACAGCTACAGCCAGGCAGAATGACTTGTTGGTTTGATCTGTGACTGCAGTGGCCTCCAGTCACAGATGAAGGTACAAACGATCTTACAGATTAACGTTATTTATGAAAATAGCTTGGCAAGCTAGCTAGGCTAACGTTTGCTAACGAGGAAACTATAAAAAGATCCGTCCATTTGGCAACAATAAATAAATAAATGAATGAAAACCAAATAAACAAATTCATGTTTTTCATTTGTGTCCATTATTTATCTCATTTTCACATTGCAAAAGGCAAGGGTAAGGTAACGTTACAGCTAGAAAGTATACATAATATCGACCGATTAGTGTTTTTAAACCATGGAAAGAGGTCAATATAACAGCAGGAAAACAATTATGTCACATAACGTTACATTTAGCTCAGGAAAGCCATTTAATGACCATAGCATGTTAATTGAATAGAAAAAATAGCAAGAGAGGAGATTTTGCTGATCACTATATCACATATTTATTATATATTTTTTACTTATGTCATTAAATAATTGTTATTATACGCGAATGTCCGCGTCTTGTACTCGCCCAGGAAATCTGTGTAAACCGTACGGCACCAGACAGGGGCAGTCGACCCGGGGTATTCACAGTGTTTTCTCTTCAAAATTGAAATTTTACTGCCACCATTGAAACAATTTATAACGGAAACTGTTTACCCACTCGACATTATACAAGGGATAACGTTGTAACGTTAGTGACAGTCGTAATTCGCGGGCTGTTTATTCCAGTGGATGCAAGTTGCAACTAAAACAATAGGAGGCAATGGCGCAACGCTACCCAGCAACAGCTCAGTAATGGCGCCCCGCTTACTTCCGGTAGTTTCGCCGGATTCGTCTATACTTCCAACCGGAAGTCGCGCCCACTTTTGAAGCAAGGCCTCATGGGGCGTAGGAAACTTGTGGATAGAAGGTCTTCATTCATAGTCTGTCTGACATATATATTAGAAGCTATGTGTCTATTATGAATTTGCACTGAATTGATTCTCAAAAATACGGAACAAAGTGTGTTCCGAATCAGTTCAATACGCAACAAGACTTTTATGTGTCAAATACGGCACGATTCATACGGAACACTTGGCAACCCTACAAACAAGCCACTTTGAAGTGTTGCTGTTTTCATGAATACAAAAGTTGGTTGAGTGACCCTCCCCCAGACTAAAAAAGGTTGGATGACCCTCCAGACAAAGGCTTTAGCAACAGGGTTGAGAACTATAACTGTTTTGAATGATCATGTTTTTCTTGTACATTGTTTTCTAACAGTCTGTTTAACTGGCAAAATATTTGGAGAATATAAGTCAAGAAAATAAAAATAAAAATCTTGAAATTTATTTCACATTTTGACGTTCCTATAATAATATTTGACATTTTAAAATGAGTCACAACATTTATTTATCTATCTATTTATTTATTTATTTATTTTTATTTTTTAGAAGAAGGGCTGTTGGAGGAACAAGAAATACAAACCATCAAATCCACCATCAGAGTCAGTTTATGAAGAGATGAAACGGAGCAATTTGAACGCCCAGCCCTGTTCTCGGACATTCATCAACCCGGACTATCAATCTTCCAAGCAACTTAAATAAATACTTTAGGCTTTAGTTTGTTTTACTGTCTATTTGCATTGAAAAAGCTTCCAAATGATTTGTCTTAATATTTGAATTCTCATGTACCTTGTATGTCATTATTTTCATTTAATGTGAATATCAAGTAATTCACTTTAAAATGCTGTAGAACAGGGAGAATTAAAAATAGTTCAAGTGTTAAGAATAAAAAAAAAAAGATGCAGCAGTTGAAGAAAGAAATGTCAAAGACCTTGCTTGTGGTTAAGTTTGCACATGCATGTGCAAAGGAGCCTAAATCATTTTGTGAAGTGCCTGTTAGTTTCAGTGTAATAATATAGGCCAGTGGTGAAATGACTGATGGTAAAAGTAACAAATCACATTTCACCCATATTTCGTTCATAATATTTCTAATCAGAAAAGCCATTTTTCTCTCATGGCAAACTTGAAGTTAAACAATGCTCTGCACCTGTTTGCGTTTGTATTTTACTGATGTTCTGATGTTAATTTTTTTCTGCTTGTGTTTCGACCTCACTAACCTTCTTTGCAGTTGTGGTCATATTTTCTTCCTCTCTATAACCTTTCAAAATGCATCAAATGCATGTTTCTTGTGTTCACTAACAGTGTTAGTAGAGTTTTAAATATACAGCTTTTATTGTAAAAGGGCTAAAGTGTAAGTGTGATGTTTTACTCATCATCCAGCATTGTTGTATTTGAATGTATTGTATTTTATTTAATCTCCTGTCTCTCAATATATTAATAAACCTTTGTGTGTATATATATATATATATATATATATATATATATATATATAAACCTTAACATTGTAAAAAAAAAAAAAAAAAAAAAAAAAATTGTCAAAATTCTTTCAAATTAATTCAGGTAGATTTATAATACCTTAAAGGTTTTAGAGTACACCACCAACTACACTAACTGGAATTATTATTATTATTTTTTTTTTTGAATGACATTAAAGCACTAATACAGAACAAAATGCTGCTCTGCACAAAGATACATTTTCAACTCTCTTCCTCTCCCTTTCACTTTCTGTCATACATGCACATATTTATACCTTTTAGGTAAATGCTAAATGTTTTAGTAAATATTGTCAAATCTGTAGAGTGAAAATAAAGGTTATCACCCTGTTGTATATTAGCTACATGCAAAGCCAACTGAAGGTATTACTTCCGTTAAGAGACCTCTTAACCTATAAAACATAATTTCAATCAATATAAATGAATTCCTAGCATTTCAAATTACATGAATTACTGTAATTCAAATTAGCTACAATTGATTCAATTTAATATATTGTATTAATTGTATGCAATAAATTCGCAAGATAATATCATGTCAATTCAAAACAAGCTTAGATATATTTTCATAAAAGTATAATAACATGGAAAAGCAATGCAAAAGGACAACACAACATAATTGTTGTATTTGTTTAAAAGTTTAAAAGTATGGCATTTGTAAAAATAACTTATTAAAATACTTGAATAAGTATATATATCAATGTACACCAGCAGTATTCACCAGGTCGATTCTCTGTTTGCCCACACTGATGATGCTTGACCAATCAGTAAAATATAGCTCCTCATTGGTCTGTGGTCAGAGGCATCATCCTGTTTATCTTCTGCTTTGTTGCTGGTTTTCACAGTAAATGACACATTTGACCACAACTAGTCTCTCGTGCATGAAAAACAAGTTACATTCCTGTCAAGATGAACTGAATTATTTTGAATGCATTTGGACCTGTTATAAATAAAAAGGTGACTAAACCGCTGAGCAGTTTAACATGCATAAATATAGACAGACATATTTTCTCTTGATTGCTTCTGTTTCAGTTACATTTTTGTAGGCCAGTGGATTATTTTGTTTTGAGATTGTCATCAATAAACATCTAGTTCATGCACATAGACAAACATTTGTGCATGGTATAGGAACTTGCACTGACTTTTATTTTTTTTTCTTCCAATACTTAACCCTTACTCCTAAACCTTCTTACACAAACACTTTAGATTTGTATTACCGGTAATATAATTTAGCAAGATTATGTAGCCATTTTATTTGTGGACCATTACTTGGTCCTGCAACTGATGGAGAGTTTTTGCTACATGTTGGACATTTGGTATCCCACAATGTTGGAAAAGCTTGACTCACACAGACAAAAGCATCCATTAAAAAACAAACCTATAAAATCTACTCAATAAAAGTGAGGTAACAATTTGCACTCATTTTGTTTGGGTAGATTTCATTCTATATTTTTGAGTAAGGAGTACCGGACTTTAACAGCTATGATATACTAAACGAAATTAGGTAAATATTCTACCTAATATTTCTCAATACATTACACAGCTAATTACTTATACAAATTGAGTAATAATTACTCTATTATTAGCAGAAAACAGTTAATCTACTTAATTATTATTAATGATAATAAGTGAATAGAAATAATTAAACATTACTTATTCAGAGATGGTTAAATTTACTTAAAAATGGCCAGACACAGGACACAGTAGTTTAACAGTAACAAATTACTCTTTATTGACCAAATACTATGGATAAAAACATTTCATTTAAAAAAAATAAATAAAATAAAACATTAATTAAAGGTATAGTACATCAAAAACAAAAATGATGTACCTTTAATGCACAAAGGTACAAAAAATAACCCATGTACATTTAATTTCAAAAGATACAACAAATCACTAACAACTTCTTTAAAACCTTCTAATTGAAAAATAAACTGGTTTCCATGGGATGAAACGAATCGGTTACCTAACGTAACCTCGGTTCTCTCTAGATGAGGGAACGAGTATTGCGTAAGCTAGCTTACGCTACGGGAAAGATTCATCTTTGCTGAGAAGTTGAAGCCAAAAAAACCCGATTCGTTCTCTTACGAGAGGTTCTCTCGTATTGCGTAAGCTAGCTTACGCTACGGGAACACCTGGTCAACGCCGTGCGCGCTAAGTAACCACTAAGCATCCCAGGGGGAAAACACCGGGGGAATCTATAAGTGGATGAAGATAATACGGCGGCCAGCATAGCGGCCGTTATCATCTAGTGCAAAAACGCCCAAAGGCGGCTGGCGAAGCGGGCCGTGATGTGTAGGCTAATGCATAAGCACCCTGGGGGAACACAAGGGGTGAGCCGGTTGTGATGGAACTCCCGATAGTGCGGCTTCTATAGGAGGGCTGTGAGTACTAGACCGCCAGAATTTAGCCTGTAAGGCTGGAACTTCCAAGTTATAAAATCTGACAAAAGTGGAGGGGGAGGCCCATCCCGCAGCCACACAAATGTCGTGAATGGAAATCCCGCAGGACCATGCCCACGATGAGGCCATGCCTCTGGTGGAATGAGCCCTGATGCCCAGAGGGCAAGGCAGGTCTTTAGCGGCATAAGCAGAGGCAATAGCGTCTACTATCCACCTGGATAGGGTCTGTTTCGAGGCGGCTAGACCCTTGGTGCGGCCACCGAACGACACAAACAGCTGCTCCGAGCGTCTGAACGTGGCAACGTGTGTAGTGTACACTCTGATAGCCCGAACCGGGCAGAGGTGGTCAGCGTCACGTTCGCTATCGGATGCAGGCAGCGCCGATAGAGAGATCACGCGGCACGCGGCGCTCGAAGACAGCGCATGAATGTCCCCCACACGTTTTACTGAGGCGAGTGCCGTCAGAAGAACGGTTTTTAACGAGAGGTATTTTAGCTCCACGGACTCAAGTGGTTCAAACGGTGGGGCTTTCAGAGCTTCTAGAACTATAGAAAGATCCCAGACCGGCACCGTAGGGGGGCGAGGGGGGTTCATCCTTCTGGCTCCCCTGAGGAAGCGGATGATTAGCTCGTCTTTGCCCAGAGACTGGGCGCGCCGGGGTTCAACGAACGCCGCGACGGCTGCCACGTAAACCTTAAGAGTGGATGGGGACCTGCCCTTATCCAGCATCTCCTGAAGGAACACTAGCAAAGACGAAACCTCGCACGTCCGTGGGTCCAAATTTTTGTCGGTGCACCATTTGGAGAACACAGACCATTTTGCAGCATAGAGCTTTCTAGTAGAATCCGCTCTGGCGTGTTTGATCGTGTTCAGAACCCCTTCTGGCAATTCGACGCGTAGTCGTTGGTCACCCAAGCATGAAGCGCCCAGCGCTGTGGATGGGGATGCGAGATCGAGCCGCGGGCTTGAGTGAGGAGATCTGCTCTGATTGGAATGGGCCACGGGGCTGTCTGTGACAGCCGCGTTAGCTCCGGGAACCAAATCTGATTCTCCCAGCGCGGGGCTATGAGGAGCACCGAGTGGCGTGAGTCCCTGATTCTCTGAATGACCTGCGGTAGCAGAGAAATCGGGGGAAAAGCATAGAGCGGGCGGCGGGGCCAATCCTGGGCTAGCGCGTCCTCGCTCTTTGAAAAGAATATTGGGCAGTGAGCGTTCTCTTCTGACGCGAAAAGATCTATCTCCGCTCTGCCGAATAGGCGCCACAGCGTTTGGACTGTTTGAGAGTGCAGGGACCATTCTCCGGGGGAGACCAGGTTCCTGGACAGCCTGTCTGGACCGTCGTTCAGATGGCCCGGTACGTGCGTCGTTCTGAGCGAGAGCAGGTGACTCTGGGACCACAATAGGATGCGGCGTGTCAGATGAAAGAGGTTCTTGGATCTGACACCGCCCTGACGGTTGATGTATGATACCACGGCCATATTGTCGGAGCGAATCAGGACGTGGTGACGTGTATGCGCGGGAGGAAACACAGGAGCGCGTTCTCGACCGCGATCATTTCCAGACAGTTTATGTGTAGGGAACTCTCGTGGCTCGACCACTGGCCGGCGGCCGGTGAGCCCTCGCAAACCGCTCCCCAACCCGAGTTGGATGCGTCTGTCGAGATAACTTTCCGGCGAGAAAAAGTCCCCATGGTAACGCCCCTCTGAAACCACTCGATTACTGACCATGGCTGCAGTGCAGTGATACATGTCTGAGTAATCTTGATCATCTGGCGGCCCGTCGTCCACTCGTGGTGGGATACGCGGCTCTTTAACCAGAGTTGAAGGGGGCGCATGTGCAGAAGACCCAGCTGTAGCACAGCGGAGGCTGAAGCCATATGACCCAGCATCCTCTGAAGCGATTTCAGGGATGTATGGGTACGCATCTGAAACGAGGCGGCTAGGCGCTGAACACGGCGCGCGCGCTGTGTGGATAAGCGAGCCGTCATAGTGGTAGAGTTCAAATCTATTCCAAGGAACTAAATAGTTTGACTGGGCTG